CGACCTCGAAAGTTCGTGAAATTACACCTGTTTGTCAAGTTCTATTGAAATCGGTTACCGGAAAGTACGCGAAACCCCTGGTTTACCACACTTCACACATTCCACCTCTAAAATATTTTCTTCAAATTTAAATGGGACCAATACTGAGGTAACCTCTTTCCAACAAAAAAAGAATCATTAAAATCGGTTCACAAATTATCTAAATAATATTATACATGAAAGAGATATAGAACTATATATAAAAGTGTTATCACGAAACATACATACAAAAAAACACAATCGAATTGCCAACCTCCTCCTTTTTTAAAGTCGGTTAAAAGAAATCTCCACTTAGAGAGATGTTTTATGTCAAGGAGAATGTGGCACAGCAAAAGAAGTCTAGAGGATTTTGCATTTGCAATATTGAAGATTTAGTCCCAAAATATCTATTATACATTCAATAACCTTCCTGCTTTCATATAATTTTCTAAGTAGACTATAACTATGTACTTATTATAGGTAAATAAAAGCAATATACATCTTAATAAAAATAGGCTTGACACTTTAAGAATTAATTTTAACTCCGTGCCACTGGCAATAAGAACTATCCAAAGTCTAAAGTATTAAGCTTGACATGCTTCGCTGGTATTTTGTGCAAAGTTATAAGCGACATTACGTAGATTTTTCAGAGGAGCGTGTTTTAGGTTTTAACAATTGTTTTAAAATATTTACGCAATGTTTTAAAATTAAGTTTTGTTTTTAATTATCTTTAGATAAAATTGAATATTGGACGTAAATATTTTAAAATATTAGTCGTCATAACCTAAAAAACACGATCCCTTGAAAAATCGACGAAATGTCGCTTACGCTCTTTCTACAAAACATCGACGATATGAACCTGATATCAATGTTATTATATTACCAGTTATGTATTATTATGTATATGTATAATAATATTTGACTTAACTGTCTTGTTTATCTACATATCGATACCAAGTATCAATTAACGTAAGCGATATTTTGTCGAAAATGAGTTAAATATATAATTGGATTCGGAAGTTCCCGCTCTATCGATTGGTATTATTAAAACTGGGCATTCCTAAATATTTCGTTTATAGCATGAAAGAACAGGAAATTCTAAGAAATTTTGCCCTGACAAAATCAAAATTGGAGCAGAAAGTAAAAAGTTATAGACAGATTCAAAAACATAAAATCGTTTTTGGCTCCCCTGAAAAACCGTGGTTTATTACTTTATACTTCTGCCCCCATAGTATGACTGTGCACAATAGCCGCGACACGCGCTATATAATTGAAATAAGCGCACTATTGGCTATCTAAGTTAGATCTAATTGAGACAGCCGATAGCGCGAGTTTATTTCAATTTCATCGCGCGTGTCGCGACTATCATGCGTAGCCATGCTACGGGGGCTGGTATCGATATATAGAAGCTAATAAACGGTAATTAATTTAATTATTCTGCTAACTCATTGATTAAAGATACTTAGATTACTCGATATACTTAAGGTATCAAATTTACTCAATGCAAATGCGGAGTTCTCCACACAGACATATTTCATGAGCATTGCAGTGAATCTGTTGTTTGGCGTAAACAGGACAACAACATCCTCTGCATCTGAACTTCTGCTAGAAACCTGCAAATGGACGAAAATGAGAATGGAAGCCCTCCTACTATCATTTCAAAAACAACACAAATAGGCCAATACCTTCCTAAGCCCAATAGTCTTACGTCTTCTTAAAATAAATAATAAGTAGCCTTTCTAAGTCCCACTGCTGGACACAGGCCTCCTCTCACAGTGAGAGGACTTGGGCGGCAAATTCACACACGATATTGTCCTTTACTAGAAAGCTCATGGTAAATTTCAAACTAAAATTTCGTGCATAAATTCCGAAAAACTATCTATAGATTATGCTGAATTATCTTACTAATGCAGTAGTCTGTGCATATTCCTCCGCAAGGACTATTTCCAATAAAATCAAAATAGAATAAATTGCAACAGCACTGAAAAGTTCGCAGATAGTTCGGGGGTAACACCGAATTCTTTCTACCAAATGCTTTTTAAGTAGAGCCCAGAGTGGTCGCAAGAAGCTCAGTTTCTCTGAAGTTGACAACATTTTCACAAGTATTATGCAAATAAACTCGTTAATATATTTATTTGACTTGGCAAAAATTCTAATTTTTTATAACGTTTCCATCGAATTCCACGATGACTTTGCCACTGTCAGGGTTCAAAGAGGGTTCATAATGACTATGTACGGTAGTTTTGTAAAAATAATGTAAATATTATAGCGAACGACGCCAACGTCCAGTTGAAGTAAAAATTCAAAATTTCGCGATTTTGTTTTGACAGTTGACATTGACTTTTAAGTGCGGAATACACGTCCGATTTTTCCTTCCGATAGTTGGATCCAATAGTCTGATCCGTCTATCGGAAGGCGTTACATATTTCTTTAAAGACTCGATTCCGAGTCGAAAGTAGCGTCCGATATTTTTGCTGATCCGATTGTCTGAAGGCGCTCTCTCTCTATACTTTTGCGGGGAGACAAAATACACGTCAGATTCTTTCCTCCGATTTGCTGCGTTGCCAATGCTAATTATTAAAAATCCCCAAAAATCAAGGTAAAAAAATTTGAGAGCAAAGTTCATATTCATCATCATGTAATAATATTATTTATGTTCAATATTTTATATTATTATTAATAATTAAATATATGTCAATTAATTAAGAAAATTAAAATGTGACCATATACGTTACTCTTTAATTAGAAATAAACTCAACAAGTTGAATTAATGTTATACCTTAATGTTTAAACTTAATGAGTGGCAAGAGTTGTGGTGTTAAAATACAAACTGCTTGGCTTTGGTTAGCAATAGCTGATTTCTTTTTTTCATACCGGGGACCGGACATAATGTGAGGAAGGGTCGCGCGCTCAACACGCACTGACTGATTATAATGGGAATATGCAACGTTGAAAAAAAAATGATATCGTTCATAGACAAACAAATAAATAGTGTTTTTATCAGTGATCGGGGACATTTTTTCCACATAGTGTCAATACTCACGAAATCTCCAGTCGAGTTGTTTAGTTAGAATTCCCTGCATTTGGGGAATTCCCACAAATTGGCAACACTGTAGTAAGTTCAGAAAAAGGCTGACGTAAAAATTGGACGCATGGACATGTATTGAGTGAATACGATCCCATAGTCGGATCCGGCTGTCAGACACGAAATCGGACATGTATTCCAGCGCTAATTCGTCAACAAAACCCAAAACTTCTATTTTTTTTTTTTTTTTTTTATTAAGGCTTTGGGAAAGCCATCAGCCTAAACATGAAGTTTAATTATGTTTCTGTAAATATGGCCGCCACAAAGAGGATAGGCAATTTGAGGCAGCGTGCTTGGATTGACTCGGGATTCCTTAAAACGGGCCGATACGAGTATTTTAGTTCGAGATTCGTATAATTTCGCGTTTTAATCTTCGATTAAGTCACAATAGCACTATCCTATTCCACTTTAAACTAGATTTCACAAAATATTGAAAGTCAAAATAAAAACACTTTTCCCTCCAAAAGGTCCAGAACGAATCCCCAAAACTTTTTAGTAAACTACGAATTGCTATTGTAAAAAAAAACAATCTTGAACAAATCGGAAATGAAGATGTATGTACCGTTCCCTTAGAGTCCGTTCCAGAGCTTTTCGTTCATTTTGCAGATCACTTGATCAGTCATTCATTCAAAGAAAAACAAAATAGCAACATCGGTTCCGCCATATTGAATAATTTTAGTGATTCGGAAATTATCGTCTGCAATGGAGTCATATTTTTGCTTATCAAATTTTGATTATATTTATGTTGGAAATTCGCCAAAATTATGTGGTTTGTCCATAGTTTCTCATTCCGGTCGCGGTCATTGCAGAAAAGCCTCAGTCGTTTGACAAAATTCGCCTGAGAATATTATTGTTTGCAAATTCTCTGTCGCCGACCCTGGAGACATCTTGTGATAAAAAAGGCATCATTGCAGCTGGTTACTCCGCTGTACGAGTTCGTCTTCACGTGAAACGTTAGGGAAAATAAATTACTGGTGCTATTTAGAGGTCTGCAATCATGGATGTATCGTGGGGTACGTGGTGTTTTTACGCAGTTAATATTGATTTTTTTAGTTTCGAAGCAAATGTATGATGTCATTGTGTGAATTTTCCAGACTCGGATAATTTTGAGCCTAAACTTCCGACCACGTTGACTTCGTCGAATAAATGGGCGGGCGAAGACGAGGAGGAGATCGTCAAGGTTAGTGTTTGGATGCCAAATAGTAAAACGTTGGCACAAAATAATTTGTTAGGGCGTTTCGCGTAGTGAACTGAACATAACCTCAATGTTATTGCCTACGTGTTGACGACAGCCCTTGTTTCCAGGAAAGTTGGGAGGACGAGGAAGAAGAAAAGAAAGATGAGGAAAAAAAAGAAGTAGTCCCTCCCCCCCCAAAGCCTAAAAAGAAAATAGATAAAATAGCAGAAAAAGAGGTAAGTTGAATGTGTTAACATATGCCTCCTAGAGTGTTTTACAAGGCCATGATATCAAGTTGGCAGAGCTTGTTTAGTTTAACAAGTTGTTTCTAGGTCAATTAGGAAATTGTTACCACCTGGACCTTGAATTTTAATATAGATCGAAAGAATGTTAAGTGATAGTATACCTAATTAGATATCCAATTTTTATAATTCCACAGATAAAAATGTCATTTGGTGTACACATTCAAAAATTATATTAGCACCTACATACCAGATGGCATGTTTTGTGAGAGAGTTATTGTAAAATATTAACAACTTTGTAGTACTACTAACATCTTTAACACAACATTTGTTCCTTGACTTATCAGATATTAAACGTTTCGTAGTTCAAACGCACTAGCATCCTCACCAACTACCCCCATTTCTGCTCCTGTGTTTTGCATGTGACATATTTTTGTACTAAAGTAAAAATTGATGAATTATCACATATGTTATAGAAGTGAAGGAACAAGAGACGTTGTTGATGACGTTAGTAATACAGTCATGTGACATTGTTTGTATTAACCCTACACATAAAATGTGATGGCTATAAAAATGCGGAAATTAATTATTGTGACTTTCTCAAATTGGGGAATTCAGTATTCTATGAGTACAATTGTAATGATATTGGGGATGTTACCCAATATAAGCACTCCAAATTCACTACTAAAAATCATAGTTAACTCCTATTTTATTTATTTATTAAGTCTTATACGTTGAGTTAGAAATACTTTTTACATTACAATTTTATATTGCATTTTAAATTTTTACATTATATCTCTTAACTCAGCATTCCTCTTAGCATAAGCCTCCTACAGATCTACCCAGTGCGCTCTTATCAGTAACTACTCCAACATGGTCCAGCTTCAGCTCATCCTTCCATCTTTGATGTTGACACCCTCAGTTACATTTTCCATCATGTGGGTACCAATTGGTGACTACTTTGGTCCATTTTTCACTCCTATTACCTCCACTCAAATTTTGGATCTTCCTAAACTATGATTAGAAGAGAGAGACTGTTTCCTCTAATTGTTCTTACCAGGAAACAATAAACTGGAGGAGGTTAACCACTAAATATACTGCACACTTTGGCAAGTTTTCTTGAGACAGGAATCCACAGAATGCTGAGTTTATGCATACAACATTGGCAATTTAATGGGCAATTCAATAAAATAAAATTAATTATCAACTGGCATTTATTCTTAAATTTCTAGCGCCAAGAACGTGAGAAAGCAGAACGGCTAGCCATGGAGAAGTTGGTCGAGAATCTGACACCTGAAGAGAGGTTGGCTGAGAAGCTCCGTCAACAGAAATTACAGGAGGAATCTGATCTCCGACTTGCAATGGAGACATTTGGTAAGTAAACACGCATTTTTGTTTTACCTAATCAATTGTAAAGATTTTTACTCAAAGTTCAAATACTATAATAACGGAACTTTCAAAATTTTTTAAGATATTCTGCTATGACACAACGGGTGTATGGCGAACAATTCATAGTGTGTATTATTGATATCATTTGGTTGGAAGATATAGGGAGTGAGGTAGACACCAAGATTTAGTCCTGTAGTTAGCCATGTGCACTAGAATGGGCATGGTTGACAAGTCTGCGCAATCTCTGCACTACTAGTTTGTATGTTATGCCTAAAAGGTATTGCATTATGTGAGCTTGTTTATGCATTACGTAAGTATATATTGATAGTTACTGCCAGTCACATGCCTGGCATTACTCTTATCAAATTTTTCTTATTTAGGGTTTCCACTACCTCCTTATCACTTTCCTTTCATCATTATGGACAGGCAACTCAACTAATGTTTCCACTAGTACCGAGAAGTGTGGCCATATCAGAGGCCACTATCACCATGACCAATTAGCGCATTATTGTGACTAATTTAACCACATTGGACTTTGTGTTCTATTATTTATTTTTATTGTTCACTATGTCGTTATTGAAGAGGATAAGTTACCTGCGTTTTTGCAAAAAGATACACTATTTGTAGCTTTTAAAGTTTTATGTTAAACAACTGGAGAAGGCCCTGACCTGAACTGATGGCCCGCATCCCATGAGACAGGGAGGCGAAATTCTGTTGATTGTGTTGTGAAAAGATCAAAGACCTATTTAACTGTTAATAATAATAATATCGCTTATTGCAAATAATTTATCAATTAAAAATTAATTAAATATCAATAAATTATTAATTAATCATCAAATTATTCTGGTATTGTATAATAATAATAATAATATCATTTATTGTCAAATAAATCTTAATAATTGCGTTTATTTACTCTGTGGTATTATTATTATGCATTTCATATTATTAAATTACTTAATTATAATATTATATTTTTATAACATACATAACATATTACTGCCATTCTCAAAACAGCAAATTTTTTCATGTGCGGCCTTTCCTGTCTGTATATAACATTATAAAGAACCACAAATGTATTTAATATAGGAATGCACAATAATAGCTAAAACTACCATACATTCCTCGCTACAATTTCATTCACTTTATGGAAGCTCCGACGCTATTAAACGGAATAACGAAAATATATTTCAAAGAATGTACGGCTTACATTAGAACAAGCATTAGTGTTCAAAATTTTTTAAATTAATTTCTTATAAGATTTAAGACAAAATTTTATGTCATAATAATGCGTTTTTTATTGATGAGTTTCAATTACTGGTTATTTAATGGTGGACTTTTGGTGTTAATTACTGGAGATTTAGAGAAATTCTAGTTAAGGTATTTATTATTTATCCTTACAGGTATATCAGGAGACAGCGGTGGTAGGCTGGATAGCTTCCACCCGACTAACAAGGAGGAGTTCACCGAGTTCTCGGACATGCTCTGCAAAAAAATCAACTTGTACAAGACAAAGGAAGAATTTCCCGTGTTCGTTGAGGAACTTTTTAGGGGTATAATTGTTCAAAGTAAGTTTACCTATAATACAGTTATTTCATAATGTTGCACTCATTAAACTTTCGATAATGTTTATCAAGATATCAAAAGTCACAATAGATACTATAATTTATTTATAGTCTCTAATACTGTGACTGATAAGACTTACTATGCAGCACAAAGAATAAAAGGGTGATATAGCTTTGGAAGAAATCCATCAGTATGCCACAGTACATTTTGTCTTGACTCTCTAATACCAAATTCAACCTGCTGGTTTGAAAAGTCATATCCTGTACATTTATTATATTAAATCAAGTCATGGTGTATGTTTTTGAAGACCTGATGATTTTCAAAAATGCATTCGTATTGTCATTTAGGCTGGTTTTCAAGGTGACGTTTCGTGGGCATATGTACTATTTGCCAGTACATACAGACAGCAGTATATCTCATTCATGCATGCTATACACCTCATTAGGTGTTCTTAAATAATAATATAATAACGCGCACACACTCATAGCCAAGCACTAGGGAAGCCCTGTATCGCGAGTACCATGGACACATACATAAACAACCACTGTATAGGCCCAGTGGAAGTTTAGCGACGTGTGCGACGACGGCTATCGTTTCGTGAAGAGAGATTTTGATTTTTTGTTTTTTAATTTTACGGCTGCGGCCCGCTCGGAGCGCGGGCAGTGTTGCCATGTCTGTACTAGACAACCACAAATTACACCCAAACTCACGAGAGAAATACATGTAGGCCATACAAGTATTTCTCCCGGCACGGGAATCGAACCCGAGACCTATTGTGTGGCAGTCCGACATGGTAACTGTTCGGCCACAGAGGCAGTTAAGTCCAAATAGTATAACCCAACACGTGGTTCACTGTCATAAAACAATCCACATTGAAGTTGGCAACTTGTTCTCTTGACCATTATTCTTTTTTTAATACCATGTAACGGGACGATGCGGCCTGGTGGTAAGCGACACACCTGTCCATAGCAGCTGCAGTGCCACTCAGAGCTTCAAATCGTACTGCCACTGCGCCCGTCACCCTGAGACATAAGTTTACAAGTCGCATGTGCCTGTAATTACACCAGCACCTTACCCTTCTAAACCGGAACGCAGTAATGCTTACAATACTGCTTGGCGGCAGAAATAGATGGATATAGGATTCACAAGCTCTACTGCTACTAATTATGTAGCTAGTAATTCAGTAATTCTTTGATAATTTAGGATATCGTTTTCGAACCTAGGATACTCTATATGTTGGAAGTCTTCGTGTGTCCGTGAACATGTTTGACATGATTAACTTTTTTTTAAATTATTTCTTTTATTTTTCCAGTGCAATCCGCCGACATTCGGAGGATAAAAACGTCTGTGGACAACATTTATATCGAGAAGCAGAAGGCCGAGAAGACCACCAAAAAGCCCGCCAAAGGCAAGGGCAAGGCCAAATTAAAACTTGATAATGAGAATGTGAGTATATAGTAACATATTGGAAACAAACTAATTGAGCCACTGCTTTGTGGTGCTGATTATTTCATTTTAAAAACTGTTTGCACTAGAAATAATCAGTCTTAAATCAGAACACCAGCAATGGTTATGTTTACTTATTCCCAAGTCCAGTTAAAATTATCAAATTATGGACACAGTACTACTTACTACATAACTTAATTATCTTCTATACTATCTCATATTGACAAAATTTACATAACGAACAGAGATAGGGTGTATTACGTTATCTGTTATCTCGTAATGAGGTAAGCGGTAATGTTATCCCTTATCTCACTTTCAGATAAGTATAGATAAATATGTGACCCTAACAATATATCTGAAATTACCCACCATGAGGTTTCAATTTTTGCTATCGACCGTGTCAAATGTGAGCGCAGAAGTGTACTTTGTATGGCACCGCGGAAAACATTATATTTTCATAGTAAAACAAGACTTGGCTTTTTTAGGGTATTTAAGGATGAAATACATATTTTTGTGATAATACAATGGACATATAATTAACCATTTCGGTGTTAACAACTTTTATTACAAAGGAGAAAGCATTTCGTTTAAAATAATCAATATTAGATTATATTCGTTGGTTTTGAGGGCAGTTAGTGTTCTCATATCTTGGGTTCTCGTTTCCCACCAACCGTGTCAGACGCTAAGAAAAAGACTAAAAAGAAAAAGTATTGCTAATGTTTTTCAACTCCTGTATTATTTTTGTTCCAGTCTCATTTGGATCCCGAGACATATGGCACTTTCGAGGACGATTACGACGATTTCATGTAAAAGCAAGCAACACACGGTCACGCTTACAACTCTAAAATGATCCCTACTCCATTATGCACGCCTAGTAAAAAAAAAAACTAGTGTACCCCTAAATACATACTGCTATGTATAATAATAAATATTATTTTGAATTGTGAACCATTTTATTGGTAAGTTCGATTTTTTTACTACGAATGAATTATAATATTTAAAACTGATAGAATATACATGCAAAGGAATTCAGGTACTTTCAAAATGGCGTCTATAACAATCAGAAACAGAGTAATACTTTGAAAATGTTGTTAACTGCCTTATTGTTGGTATTTAATTAATATTTGTTTTTATTCATCACTAACTTACGCATACATACAATATTTCAAATAATCTCAGTAATGAGTACTAAAAAAACCGACCTCAAAAGTCATTCATCCCCTAGTTTGCCACCCTTTGAGAGGAATATTTTTTCAAATTTAAATGGGGTCATTACTGTGGTACCCTCTTTCCAACAAAAAAAAGAACTCACAAATCGCGTAACACATACAAAAAAATATGCAGATGAATTGAGAACCTGCTCCTTTTTTGAAGTCGGTTAATAAAATATATAGCAAATCATAATCTTAAGGATAATTTTAAAGTTGTGAAGCAAAGGTACCAGACTCCTAATTTTCTAAGTCCCGTTTACGACTCAAGCCTTATTATTTGGGTGGTCTTTTTATAATCCCAACACTGTACTGTCCATTATATCCTATGTTCTTTGTTTATTTCTCGTAATTGTTCTATCTTACTTTGTCCATTGACAATATACTGACGTGATAAATAAATAAGAACAATCTATTCAAATTGAAATCTAGTTAACGAGCTAGATAGAATACTTTGTCACAATCTTTCTTATAGCTATTTTTACACTTAGCTAAATTGCATTGTCACAACCGAGCTATAGAATACTTTGTCACAACCTTATACTACCGCCAAGAAGAGACGGAGAACGGGAGACCCCCTGTTTTGTAGTTACAAGCTCTAATTAAAAGCTCGTAATATTGCTGAATTTGAACAATAAACACTACTAATTCCATTTAAAAGTTGAAAACGGACTTACAATTTTATAGAATACTACGTTTGATAAAAGTGGTGTACGCCTTAGGGCGCCTTTAAATTAGATGCTGCTATAAGTGGCTAATTTGACGGCGCTCTAAATACAATTAACGCTATTTTTAATCGTAATTTTTACAGTAACCAAGTTATTAAAAATGGCGTTAATGTCAACATTAATCTCATTCACTATTATTATGCTAAAGTACATTATCTACTTATTATTTTGTTTATGGACATAATAAGAAATTGAACAATAGTTTTTAATTTACGGCTATCAACCAATATAGCTAAACCTTACAAATTCTTGTGTTTTAATAGGCTACGTTATATATTTTTATTGCCTATGTATAAAGGTTCTTATTATACACTATAATTAATAAATTATTCGTAGTTATACATTAGGTGTATGTCCTTTGTGTATCTGTTAGGAGCCCGGTACCTCTCGTATAGCTTAAACATTATGAAATGTAATATACAGTCGTTTCATTCTATGGTTACGGTCCGATGTTATGTTATATAGAATAATAAATTTTTTTATTGTGATATTCTAAATAATCATTTACCCCTTTCGTCTATTACACCACTTCTGCCACCCAAGACACGTGGTATGCGGTAAGATGTGGTATATACCTGCTATCTAATTATTATCAGAACATTAGACCTAATAGATTTTCTTGCAATATTAAAACTCATTTTGTTAGCGTCAAAAATGACTTGCTGCTAAAAACATAATTCACATGCACTATATAGGTGTCATATGACGTGTGTGCGCATGTAGTAGTTCTAAAACAATTATTTGTAGAAACCCATTAGAAACCAATCTTTCTATTTGTAATAATATAAAACAAAAGATAAAATAACTTAACGTGTGCTCATCCAGTTCTCACAGAGGGCCAATGAAATCTACAAAAGTATTAAGTTTGCGTATAATAATTTAGTTTGTAATAGTTTCGTTAAACTGTCTTCTTTAATTAGTAATTACAGATCGATTAGTGACTTTTTAAAATTCTTACAAATACATTCTTACCAACTAACGATGCTGCGCAAAGTGAGATGGATTCTATCATTACCAGCATTGATGATGGGTACAAAACAGCAGAGATTTTTTGTGACCTCACAAAGGCGTTCGATGTTATTGGGAATGAATTACTAACACAAAAATTTGTTATGTATGGTGAAACCGGAGTTGCCAGCGATTTATTAAAATCTTAACAAACAGTTCAAGTCTGTACGGACAGCAAAAAACCAACTCCGCCGCTGGTGATATCACCATCGGCATCCCTCAAGGATCAACCTTGGGTAATACGTTGTTCCTGGCGTTCATCAACTATCTTGCGCACTATATATCGGAGGTCTTGGTAGTTCTGTTTGCAGATGACACTACTGTTATAGTGTGTGTTAAAAGCTTCACAGAATTGGACGAAAAAGTAACATACAAGTACAGTCAGGTTTGTGAATGGTCTTCTGCAACACGTCTAAGTCGAACCTAGTGTTGTTCTCCAATAGTCACCTCCGCGGTTCCACTTTGCAACACATACAAGTTCTTGGGTTCACATTCAGTTTCAGTTAGAGAAACTTGGAGGTGCTACATGCGCACTGCGGAAACTGCGTCCCCTTGTGTCCACTGCGGTGTCGAGGCAAACGTACTTTGCATACTTCCACTCATTGATGTCCTATGGTATTACAATGTGGGGCAATTCAACCGAGTCCAAAAGGGTATGCGTTCTCCAGAAACGCCCACTACGAACCATAGTAGACATAAAAGGTAATCAGTTATTAATGGTCTTGGATATCTATGAATTCTTCTTCAATATGAAATTTCTGCCTTCCTAACTAATAGTGCAGTATATAAGTGAAATCGCTTTTCGAGAAAAACGTGGTTATAGAAAATAATTTAAAATTTACTCTAGCTTCAAAACTAGGCAAGTTACAGCGACATGCCATATATCAATAGAAAGGTAAAAGAATGAAGAATTGTAAGGTGACATATTTATATATGTATGTTAAGGTTATGTATGATAATATTTCAAAATTATACTTATGTTTGATAGCTGCTCTAGTAACACAACTGATCCTCCTAACCATAACATCAGCAAGTACCTTAGATACTGCACTTATTATTTAGATAAATATCGTACTGCTAATTAATCTAGAAACTACGTATTCAAAAGCAAATTAATAATAATATATATAATAAATAACTGCAGTATCTATTAGGTTACTGCAGTTTTAGCTAAGTATACACTTCATATTGATGCTATTTTCTAATGTTTTATACAGTCGAAACTTAAAATTTGTTAGTATTTTCTTACTAAACATCGACGCAAATTGACAGCATGCAGCATTTCTTGAGGTTTTTGAGAGTGTCGGTGGCCTAATTCCATCCCTTCCCTTTTTACTTTCCTCTTTTCTCGCTGCCTTCCCTTCTATAGTGTTAGCAACTGAGTAATGCCATTACAAGCGTACACGATAGGCTACGGCAAGAGTTCGAGTCCCACAACTGCTTATTCAAAGAATAAATTATTTCTATTTCCCAAGTCGGACGAAGTGTTAATTGGATTGGGAATATAAAGAGATGAGACAATATAGTATTTTATATAGATATATTAATTTCGTACATTTATAACATTAGAATAAAACAAAGAAAATTCCTGAATTCCTGTATTATTTACTTGTTCAATTCCCAGACATATTATTTATGAACCCTTACATTTCAATTGACAATAAACAATCTTCTTCTTCCTGTCCTTATCCCACGCTAGGTGGGGTCGGCGCAACATGTATATTGACAATAAACAATTTAAAAAAATGCCTTATATTGAAGTTAGTTAAAATTCAGTCTCCTTATTACAATTATGGAATATTCAGGAACTATAATTGGAGATCACGTTTCTTTATTAAAGATCTATATTATTATTATTAATGCTATGACAACTGCTATAACATTCAGTCTTCTCTGATTAATTATTTTACTTGACATCAACTTTATATGTCAGAAATAACACTTAGTATTTATAAATATTAACGCATTACGCACAGGTAGCGGACGACGCACAGAGGAATATTTCACCTCAAAAGTTGCTAAAAATGATTTTGTGATTTTTAAGGCAGTTTAAAAAGTTTCACATTTTTCATTGTATTGAAAATTAATTGCAAAAAATATAATATTAATATTAATGGGATTCGTCGTCATAAGATCCATCGTCATATCCATTATACCTAAGTTGATGTTGCGTCCGATGCTTCAGGCAGCAGAAGTTCCTATGCCTCACTGGAGATAAATTTACTTTTTTTCTGTGGCATTTGCATTGTACTGCTCAAAAAAGGATCAGAATTTAACAAAAGTCTGTGTGAAATGTATGTACATGCGGGACTTTTTTATTTAAAAACATTATCAAGAATAACTAAGTCTTTAGTTACACACAAAATCATAAGCTAACTAAGCTTAACTGATATACATAACCATGTGTGAATATAGTGATTAAAAAAAAGTTATTTTTTATTGTAGAATGTATACGGTAAGAAGTATCCATATTCATATTCATATATTAATATTCATTTATCTGCATTTCACATGGATGACAAACTTATACATGTGATACCCTGTAAGGGTGTAGCAAAGTTACAATGGAATTTACATACATTGCAAGCTTGAACGTAGTTAATTAGTTTAGATAATTAATTATATTATAGATTCTATAATTATTAATAAACATAATTATTACACAATATTTTTATCTTAAAATTAATTAAATTATTATTTTTATAATTATTAAACATTTTTAATACTATTACATTTAATTTAATTTAATTTATTGCAATTCACATTTTCATAAACTTAGATACATACATGTGATACCCTGTTAGGGCGTAGCACAATTTAAACTTAAACCTAATGATACAATTATTTTAACATATATTATTTATAATATATATTATTCGTAGATGTACTTTATTATTATAATATATATTATTCGTACACTTATTGCTAATAATAATTTTTACTGAATTGTATTTTCAATTATTACCTAAATTTCATATAGACATGAAATCAATTTCAAATACATTTGTCGCCAAAAATTCATTCATTTCGAATAGCAATCACAACAACCTAAGAACTCCAAATAGCTACTGGTGTAATGTGGGCGGAATACACCTGATTCTCATACTACCTACTGAGCAAATACTCGCCTACAATATATCTCATGCTCTTGAAATTTTGAAACGTTTCTCAAAACGGATTTGAAGCGAGTTGCAACATTTTCGCACTATGGTCACACAGATTTCGTGTGTGTGGTGTAATGTTTGTTTTAGTTTCTACTGTGTTCCATTCAAGTGGCTTATCTTTTA